ACCCACCACGCGGCCCGCGCACGCCACCATCCACCCACCATGGGCCCCTGTCCACCCACCGCACGCCTCCGTCCACCCACCATGCACCCCCCACGTGCCTCCATCCACCCACCACGCGGCCCGCGCACGCCCCCGTCCACCCACCATGGGCCCCTGTCCACCCATCACACGCCTCCGTCCACCCACCACGCGGCCTCGCGCGCACCCGTCCACCCACCACGCAGCCACCCGAGAGGAAGCCCCCAGTCACGACGGATGGCGGCAGAACATAGACATGCTCAGAGAGACAAGCACGCAGACGGCAGGAAGAGAGCTGCCCTGAGACCTGCCTCACCTGCTGCACTCCCGGAAGCTCAGGGGGCACCAGGGCTTTCACACCCTCACCCTGATTCCCGCTCCTCTGCGTCCTCAGGCCATCGTCCGCAGGCGGAAGCTCCTGGCCATGTTTCAGTGCCTGCCTGTGTAGCTCCTGAGTCAGAGCGGTGGGGTGAGAAGCATCCTTCTTCTGCAGCTGCTTCTCCAGGTCCGCTCTCAGCTGCTCTAGAGCCCACCTGTGCTCCTCCCGCATGGTCTGCATCTCAGACAGGTGACGCGATTCCAGAGAATCCAGGTGTGACGAGTGTCTTGCCTCCAAAGCACTGACCGCCGCAGCATGCTGTGTCTGCAGTTCAGCCATACGGGCTTCTGAAAGAGCCCACTGCTCACTCTCCACCGAGGCCTTCAGCTCCTCTACCTCAGCCCGGTGCCTGGCCTCCAGTTCCGCCGTCAAGGACAGAATGTGCTGTTGGTGTCTCTCCTGGAGGAGACGCAGCTCACAGGCGTGCTTCTCCTGGGCCTCCCGAAGGACGGCATCCTGTTCCGCAGTGAATTTCTCTGTGATTTCTTTACGTTCTTTTAAAAACCTGGGAGGACATGCAAAGTGAACTCGGGCAGCAGAACACAATCATAAAAGCACCAACCTCGCTTGGGAACACCTACTCACCACCTTTCTTACAGGAAACACTACATCGTTGCATTGTTTTAACTGTTCTTGCTCCTTCTCCCTCTGCCACAAATGGCCTGAGAGGACCACCTTCAGAAATAAGTGGAGAGTGGAGGGGCCACACGAAGCCAGAGGAGCTCAAAGGACAGAGCCCAGGCATGCCCCCTCACAAACTGAGTGGAGGACACAGGATCCACAGCAAGAAACCGCACACGTATTTCCGACAGACACCATGGCAAAGCAGATGTGACCGCTCACTCTCGGCGAGAAGGACCTCGACAGGGAAGGGGCAGCAGGATCGCTTCTAGGAGCCCACAGGGCCATAAAGAACAAAGACCTCAGAAAAACTTTGGTTGTGAATTAAGGGACACGAATTAAAAAGAGCCACGGGGTGCTGGCTGGCAGAAACACAGGCAGGCAGGCAGATTCACTTCTAATCACAGCACCCAGGATCCCACCAGGAACTGAAAAAGCCTCAACCTCAACTGGGCGCACGCTGCTCATCAGTGACATGCCCTGGTCAGTTCACCAGATAACTCTGGAAGCATTTCCAGAGATTATCCCATTTACCCTCATCACACAGGGAGAGCACGAAGGTTTTGTGAGGTTGAGCACAGTGCCTGCATCCAACCAGCTTACACGAGGTGGGTCGAGATCTGAACTCAAGTCCTCAGACCCCTAGATCAAAAGCTCTTGTACCTCACTCATGATGGTGGGGAGCAGCTGATACATGTGAATAAACAGCACCAACAGCAAGTCTAATGACCCCAAGACTCACAAACACCCCCAGTCACGACAGCCCGGGTTTGCAAAGAGTTAGCATTGACAGAGACCAAGAACCAAATCACATTCTAAATCTATTTAAAATTTAGTATTTAAAATTTAAGGGAAGTATGCATAAATTTTAGGAAAAGGACATTTATTTTTTAAAATATCTGTTTGAGTTTTAAAAACACAAAGAACTAATATGGATGAACTGCATGTCCTTTTGATAAGTGAGGTCTCAATTCTTGCTTTTGAAATTTTTTTTTTTTTAAGATTTTATTTATTTGCGAGAGAGAGAATGAGAGAGAGAGAGCATGAGAGGGGGGAGGGTCAGAGGGAGAAGCAGACTCCC